TCACATTGGCAAGCCTCCAGTCTTCTGGGACCTCCCCTGTTAACCAGGACTGCTGATAAATGATGGAGAGTGGCTTGGTAAGCTCCTCTGCCAGCTCCCTCAGTACTCTTGCGTGGATCCCATCTGGCCCCATAGACTTGTGGGTGTCCAGGTGGCTTAACATGTCCTTAACTTCTTCCTCCTGGATTATGGGGGGGTTATTGTGCTCTCCATCCCCATCTTCCAGTTCAGGGGGCTGAATATGCTGTGGGTACCTGGACTGGTTATTTAAGACTGAGGCAAAGAAGACATTAAGTACCTCAGCCTTGTCCTCATCCTTGGAGACAATGTTCTCCGCCATATCCAGTATGGGATGGAGATTCTCCTTGCCTCTCTTTTTGTTATTAGAATATTTGTAGAAGCATTTTTTTGTTATCCTTTACGATTGCTCACTCAACCATTGTTTACCTCTGCATCTTAGACAATAACACTTTGCCTTTCTCCTTTTCTCTTTCTTAGCTGATCTACCTTTTACCTACCCATCCTCTCACACAGTTACCTGATAGTGTGCCAGTGTGTTGAGTCTCTTCCAGTCATTCTCTATCTTGGTTGTGATGTCTTCATCCTGAAGGATCATCCTTGCCCCACTTGCTTGCCGCCACTCTGCAAGGAAAAGAGGGACATTGAACTCTGCTGTGCAGAACCCCTGAGATAGGGAGCAGAGCCCTGGCAATCCCTGTGCCCATAACCCATGTGGTCACACATGTGCAGGCTGCATCCATGTAGCAGCACATCATTCATTGCCGTTACGCTGTCAGATGCCTCCAACCACATACAACATACAAATGCACATATGTCCAGTGTCTTCTTTCCAGAGGGATAGAGAAGACAGATCAACCATTAAAGGTTCAGGGAGATCGTTCAGGAAAGGATGCAAAAATCATAGCCATGTGGTAAAGTTCAGAGTCAAGTTCTAGGTTATCTAGGCTGGTTTCTTTACCCCTGATAAAATGATATTGCTGTCACAAAACAACTTTTGCCCAGGCAACACCCATCCCTTTAACTAGTGACACCATGTAGAGATCAGAATGTAGAGCAGCTGCCTACAGAGGTGAGAGGTCCAAGGTTAGGGCACCGCAGCACGCAGGATAAATAAAGCAGTGACCAGAGAGCTGTTGATCCATTGGCAAAGCTGAACAGAGCAAGGCCGGGTGCTTCAGCACCCCGATTATCCACAGTGCTTAACTCTTAGCTACTCTCTGGCTCTGTTCTTGCTCCAGCATGGCTGTTTCCAAGATCAACCCGTCCTTGCACAGATTAGCCATCACCATGGGACGGGAGCAAATGAACATCACTTGTGTCAGGGATAGAAATTAATCCCTGGTCCTCTTTCCTTTAACAGCATAGACACGGCCCTTATCAGTACCTGAGATATGTCTAACTGCCTTGACCTAGCCACAGAGAGGGCTCCCCTGAGCAGAACAGTGACTTCTTCAGCACAGCACCAGAGCTTGTACTGGGCTCAGTCCATCTCTATTAGGGCTCATACAACACTTCTTGCTACTCACAGAATCACAGAATCATTAAGGTTGGAAAAGACCTTTAAGATCATCAAGTGCAACTGTTAACCCAACACCACCATGCCCACTAACCCATGTCCCCAAGTGCCACGTCCACACGTTTTTTGAACACTTTCAGTGATGATGACTCCACCACCTCCCTGGGCAGCCTGTGCCAATGTTTGATCACTCTCTCTGTAAAGAAGTTTTTCCTAATCTCCAGTCTAAACTTCCCTTGGCACAACTTTGAGAGGCCATTTCCTCTCATCCTATCTCTATTTACTTGGGAGAAGAGACCAACACCCACATCACCACAACTCCCTTTCAGGTCGTTGTAGAGAGCGATGAGGTCTCCCCTCAGCCTCCTCTTCTCCAGACTGAACAACCCCAGTTCCCTAAGCCGCTCCTCATAAGACTTGTGCTCCAGACCCCTTCCCAGCTTCGTTGCCCTTCTCTGGACACGCTGCAGCACCTCAACGTCCCTCTTGTAGTGAGGGGCCCAAATCTGAACACAGTATTCAAGGTGCGGCCTCACCAGTGCCGAGTACAGGGGCACGATCCCTGCCCTGCTCCTGCCGGCCACACTACTGCTGATACAGGCCAGGATGCTGTTGGCCTTCTTGGCCACCTGGGCACACTGCCGGCTCATGTTCAGCCGGCTGTCAGCCAGCACCCCCAGGTCCCTTTCCGCCGAGCAGCTCTCCAGCCACTCCCCCCCAAGCCTGGAGCGTTGCATAGGCTTTACTAAAGTCCAGGTAGACAACATCCACAGCCTTACCCTCATCCACTAGACAGGTCACCTGGCCATAGAAGAAGATCAGGTTGGTCAAGCAGAACCTGCCTTTCATGAACCCGTGCTGGCTGGGATGATGTAGCAAACTCAGGTGGAGATTGCTACTGACGGAGAACAGGAAGCCCTTAGCTTTGGGCACAGTAGAGGCATAATGAGAAGCCCCAGAGATAGAACCAACACCCTGCTATGTGGAGCATGTAACCAGCCTTCAACAGCATGCCTGTGGGCAGAAGGGCTCCAGCTTCTGACCACATCCAGTTCTCCAGCCTCCACCCCAAAATGCTCAGTGTTTCTCTCCTTCTGCAGAACTGGAGCACCCTGTCACTTCTCAGATCTTGAAGGATGCTGCGTGTGGAAGATTGTCACAGCTTTCCTCACAGAGGACTCACAGATTTGCCTATAGGCAAGGAACACATAAACATTGCTAAAAGGAGAGAAATGTAGTATCACCTGGTGACACCAGGGAAAGCTGTGATTTAACCACAGACAACCTGCACCATCCAGAGATCCCTTTTTGGTTGTCATGTCTCAGTCACATACAGTTTTAGCCAGAGCCAAAGCAGAAAGTCTATTCATTTGAGGCAGTTAATTAAAATGAACTCTTGGATATGGAGACATCACCTGCCACCTCTGCTTATTTCACCTAATACAAAAATGCAAGGACCGTTGCAAATTTCTTTTGGTTTCAGCAGTTTTCTTATCACATAATTAAAATGCATTGGGAAATCCGTCCTTGCCTTTATTATTCATTTAAATTAGCAGAAAAGGTCAGCTGCTGTGTTTATTGCTGGGTGTTACTTTGGCTGGAGGTACTCAGAGAGTAAGCAAAGGTTATGTTGGCTAAGCACTGAACTGCCCTTCATTTACTCCAGCTCCTTAGATCCTCACCTACATTATCCTTGTGATGTCCAAGGGGGATGGTCTCTGTTCATTCCCAACTGGACCGGATTCCTGGAAGCTAACTGATCCCAGAAATTGCTTGAAAGAGCACAAAATGCTGAAGTTTGGGCTCGGCAATGGTGCTCTTACAAAGTGCCCCACAGAGTACCAAAGCTACTTCTATTGTCACAGAGTGCGTTTCTTATGTGCCTTCCTCATGATCTCCTGGAGACCGTGTCTCTGACCATTTTCCTTCAGGGCTCTGCATGTTCCTATGGTCTTCCTCTCTCCTAACTCATCTTTGAGGGGGGACACACACTCATGTAGTGTTTTGGGAGGATGTCCCCTCAAGCCCTCTGTGCTCCTGCACAGAACCAGGGTATTACCAAGTCCTTCTCCTTGGCCTTCCTGCAGAAAGGGGCCTTGCAAGGAAGACCAAGGGCCAGTCTGACTCTGCACAAGATCCACTCCTGAGCAAGAAGACAAGGGGAAAAACACTTTACAGGGCAAGCTGAGAGCATTTGGCTTCCGTTTTGCAGACTGTTTGCCCTGACCAAATAGAAATCACTTCATCATGCATCTGAGCAGTGGCAGGGAAAGGACCCCCAGTTGTGGTCCCCCAAGTCCTCCTGGTCTCACAGGAACACTGCAGGCTCCCCTTCTCCATGAGGGCCAGCTGAGGTGGTCACACACCGATCTGCGAGGAAATGCCATGGCTGGGAGCAAGGGAATGGGAAGGGAGGGTGCAAAGGAGGAAAAGGTGACCCTGACATCCATATTCACAGCACTAAGTGAAAACTCTTAGCTTTATCCTTGCTGGCAGCACCCTGTCCCCTCTCTCATCAGATCTGTGTGCTCCTCTGCGAGCTGGCACAAAGGAGAGACATGCTCCAATCCAATTTCTTACACTCCCACCTTCCGGAGAGAGGGAGGGAGAGGGGGAGGGAGGTAAAAAATCCCATTATCTTTATCAAACCTTCCAATCAGGAGCAGCGGTAAATGCAAACTCAGGAGACAGCTGCTCTGAAGCCTTTATATTTCATTCAGCAGATAGTGTATCTTTTTATTGCACGCAGGAATTACTTCTTTTTTCCTTTTTTTTTTTTTTTTTTTTTTTTCCCTAAGAAACAACCTTTCTGTTCAGCTTGACTGGGAAAAAGGAAATTCCAGTGGCCTTTGACAGAGGTGCTTCTTTGAGCTGTAGCAATGCCTAGTTAGGGAATGGATCCATGGGGAGATGTCCTCCTGCACCTCAAATCCTATACAAAATGTCACACCTCCCTTGTGATTTCTCACTGATCCAGGTCACCCTGAAGATGCCCACTGAACAAGGGAGAAAAGTGCAGCAGAGAGAACATTTTTCAGGGGCAACTGAAATACCCAGGTGGATGGAAGACCTGCCAGCTCAACTCCAGGTGCTTTCATAGGAGCTAGTCATCATCAGCTACTCCATCTTTACAGACACTTCTAGGTCACGATGCACACAGTCCCTTTCAGTCAACCATTCATGCCATGCACTGTGCTTCCCACCCTTTTCCTAGAGACACTAAGTCTCCCATGAAGGACTGTGAGACGCTTTGTGGCTGACTCTGCACAGCAATGGCATGTGGAACAAAAGCATGTGGCTCACCCAGCCTCGACGCCTATTTCATGATCACTTGTGCTCAGGAAGGATTAATCTGCAGAGCTGAGGGGCTGCTTTTAGTTCTATGAGTATTTTTTCATTTCCCAACAATTTCCATGTGAGAGACGGGTTGGCATTAGAAATAGGAGAATAAACCCTTTGTCTGTACGCTGCAGGCACCAGTACAACCACGTGGGTAGGAAACAAAAATGGGTAAATGTCTACTATGTGATGACCTCTGGGAAGAGAGGAGAAACTCAGCTCTGCTTCTGGGGTGAAGAAAGGAACACTGTGGTTGGGAAAAAAAAGTTCATCTCAGAACACGTAGATGGAAGATACCTGGGAAATATTTCATCCTGCATATGCAAGTGGTCTGCCTTACTGCATATATATTAGAGTTAGACTCAGTTTAAATGGCTCCTAAAGGTTGAATCCCTCATCCCAGTACTGCACTGTCGATGAAGCAGTGAGGGCTTGCCCTGACGTGGTCCACAATGAGCCTGAGACAGCATCCCTGAGTGCAAGGTAGTCAACCTAGAAGCTCCCACCACCTCAGCAGTCCATTTCAAAAAGCAACTGAAATGCAGGGAAGAGTGAATGCCTCAGCATGAAGTCAAATTCCTGTTTTGTGATCCTCACACCCTAATGCTTTCCCAAAGATGGGGTATTTTATCTATGGTGAGTGCTTTAAAAAATAATAATAACAAAAATAGTCACTGCAGAAAGAAACCTTTTCTCAGAGGGCTGCAATTTGGACTTGGACTAAAATGTAACCTCAGGGTGTCCAAAATAAGTGCTTTCAGCTGACAAATCCCTCCATGAGTTGTCTGGGTAACTGCAAAACATTATGACATTTGCGACACATACAAGTCACTCTGCCTGCAGCTACCCTGCATTTAACAACTCAAAATAACTCATTAGCTTGTTTGCTTTCTTCCATGTGAGCAATCTGGCCTTAGTACGGACAGAAAGCCCAGAAAATTGTAATGGCAATAGAAAGCGGTGTTGCTGTTTAGAAAACCATCGATTTCAAGGCCAGATTACAGTCATCTGCTCTGACCTACTGTTTAGCAAGGACCGATCCAGCCGCCTTCGCAGTTCTCAGCATTCAGCCTGGGACAGGTTGATCCCGAGAGCTCTGGGCTGTTTTCTAATGGCCAACAGTGCTTTCTGCTTTCCCCTTCTGCCTTCACTCTCACTGAAGGATGCCAGGCGCCAGCAAACATCTTTTCCTGTGAAGAGGCTGGGCTGGAGCTGTGGCTGGACGTGCATATGCTCTTGCTCCTGCTTCACCCACGCCAGCCCTGCTCCTCCCACCTCGTTAGCTGCTCTGCTAAAGGAGCCTGCAACTATATTGCTGCTGGCAAGACTCCTCTACTATATGAGGGTTTTTTTGTGCTTTGTTTTGATTTGTTGTTTTGTTTGGGTTTTTTTTTTTTCCCTATTGCTATTGGCCAAACAACTGCTCATTAAGCAGTCTCCTGTCAGTACAGACAAGTCTGTCCTCTGAGGGCTGCGCACACTCATAAATACTTTCTGGAGCTTGCTGGTCCTCAGCACTACTCAGCAGGTCAATATTTCTTAAAACAGCAACAGTCCTGGATGCAAAATTGTCAGGCTCCAGCTGGGATCCCGCACACACAGACTTCTGTACCTGTCAGTTGTCAGAGCTACAGTAAAACCTGTGGACTCCAATTTATCCCTGGTATTTGCAACGTGCAGGTGAAACGCCTGCCTCCCCTTATGGATGCAACCTTCATTCCCACCGCAGAACAAACTACTTCCCACTCACACCCAGTCTGAGATCCAAACGTAACGGGCTCTGTGGCCGCCAGCCAGCACCAGAAAGGTCAGAGCTGTCTATAAACCTCACTCCTCCGGTCTGCTGTGCCCTGGCACCCTTCCCTGCCTGCCCTCGAGCTCACCCAGCGCTCACCGCTCCCCTGCTGACTCACAGCAGCTCCGAAATCATCTTGGGTCCTTTCTCAATGATGTATATGAGCTGTTCGTTATTGCTGCTGGTCTTGGCAGCTTGTTTCGTTATTCTAACAGCCTTTCACGAGCAGGGATCTTGCTGCAATTTCTGTCAGGAGTCCCCTCCTCCCTTACACGTACACAGGCATATGGACACTTAACTTTAATCCCTGACCTCTCATTCCTGCCTCCATTATTGCTGTGAATTGTTTCTTGGTGTCAGTCCATTCCACCTCCTTTTGGTTCCTCTTCTACTTTGCTAGGTTTTATAGACTCCATCATTTTCCACTCAAGACTCTTTCACTGAAGGTCACTGAGGGCAAATTCTGGCAGGTACAGCCACAATACAGTGCCAGCTCCCTGCCAGACACCTCAGCAATGCCCTGAGCAGATTTTTCTACATTCTTTCATAGTAGCCTCCAGGTGTAGAAATCACATCTGCCTCTGGACTCCAACATCAGACAGCTAACTCCTCCCAGCATCCTTGCTCCAGATTTTAGGCAGAAATGGATTTTGGCCTCAGAGACACCCGTGCACTGGGCTGTACGGCTCCCTGTGTGCCCCACAGATCGAGGCACAACTGCCTAGAAATGCAAGTGAAGCTGGTGCAGCTCTTTCCACCCTCCAAGCAGAACAATGCATGAAGGAGGAAACCACTGAGCAAAAACCCACCATGACTACAATAACAGAGAGACTAATTTTTCCTGAAGAGGTCCTAGCCCTCTGCAGAAAGGAAACCTCAGAGCAGCAGCTCCCAGCCTTGCTGGTGGTCGTGGGCTGCTGGCAGGAGAGGGAAGCAGTCAGGGGTGAGATGGATGCAGCCCATCAGAGGTGCTTCATCCCCTTTCCTGTGCCTGCATAAGTAATTAATACCGCTTGGGCTGTGACTATCTCAGCAAGAAGATATATATAATCCAGACCCTCTCTATTCAGAAAAGAGCTAGGAATAAATCTCTGCAGCCTGAACACTGCTGGCAACATCACCCTGGTCATTGGTACTCTTTTTCCAGAGGTCTTTGGCAGAAGAACAAGAATAGCCCCAGTCATGCCTCTTCTATACCTTTGTCCAAGCTGAATTCTGTGGGCAGAAAAGCAGGATGGCTACTAGTCTTTTTAAGTCCTCAAGGCTGAGGATTTCATAAGCCAGGAGCATACGCATCAGTTTATTCACTCTCTTCTGCCCTCTCATCATTGCTGCTGCTCTGCCTTGCACGTCCGAAGACGT